AACAACTGAAAATGTAGACAAAAACTAATGGTTCAAAATCATTAATCTATCACTCGACTCGAAAGAATAAAACTTTCGTTGGGTCCAATAAAGAAAAAGAAAAAGAAAAATCAAAATGATTTAAATACCGAGTTTTTGGTATAAAATTGTCGGTATTTCCAAAAACATCATTAAAGCTTTTGCACAATTTCAGTACGAGATAGATGGTTGTCATATTTACAAAAGGATTTGAGAAAATCAATTATGGTTGATCCAAAATTTGTTCCTTCGAGTTAGTGACCTCACTGGTACGAAAACAATTGTATGGGATACTCTCCTAAGAGAACACTCCCAATCTCTTAGTAAAACAATAGATTACACTTGTAGATTGGATTTTGATTTGTTTTTTCCCTCAAATTAGATAGAATGACTAAGAACAACAACAAAAATACGTATTAAAAACACTATGGAAGGTTTACATTAAAGGTCCTTGTGACTGTCTCGCTCCGGGTTGCATCGTCTCTCTTTAATCAAACGCTTAAGCCGATGGTTGATATATTGGTCGACTTCTTGTTTTGTGACCTCCTTTCGGTTTCCATGTATCACTTTAAGCGCCACCTGATCAGGAAGGATTCTTTGAGCCTCAGTCTTTAGGTTTAGATCCTTCTTAAAGTATTCATAGTTCGCTTTACTCAAGCGATTAGGCTCTGCGCAATGACGGTTACCAACTCCACCATCGCCATTGTGAAAGGCTTACACACGAACCACCTTATCCCCCCCTCTGTAACCGTGCCAATCTAATCTCTCGCATCGAGTGCAGTGGATCAGGTTTCTTCTTAACCATGATGAGGACATTAATCCTTCCAGCAAATGTTGGAGGAGGAGAACATAGCGTAATTCAGACCCCCAATTTATAAGTTCGAGAAATATTTTCTTTTAGGAGAGAAAAAAATTGAAGGCGCTCTCAAGGCTTTGAAGAAATTAGTTATGGGAATTCGATTTGGTTGAGTTTGGATTATTCGGTTTTAAGAAAACAAATCTCATTTGAAATTAAT